CTGAGTAAACGAGGGGTTATAATGACAAAAATAACTTTTTTGCTGAACAGCTAGGTTAAATAATATAAACAATATGAATTTGCTCCACAAACTTTAAAATTTCTTAAAAACTGACAACTTCTGCTGTTACCTGAGCCTCATTTTGATAAGCTGCAAGATTTCCCCTTACTACTCACCCGTATACCATTTTTACTCCCTTAGTGAGCCAATTTGTTAAAAAAGCATTCCCCTTCCCCACTTCTTCTCCTTTGCGTAACATGACCTGGCCAGAACCCCGACCTGCGTCAGAGGTACGTCCAGCTCAAAGACCTGAATGAGCATCTGCTGAGACAGCTGGAGAGTGGCCAACAAGAAAAGGATACTCTCAACTCCAAGATTGAAAACCTGCAAGAGGTAAGGAAACTTATTGCTATCTGTAGTGACTTTTAGACTCATTTGAAGCTAGTAAGTTTTGTTTGTATACAAACATGTACAGTGTTAGGTTCTTTGCTGTTGCATGCAGAAGATGAGGGTTTGATCCACAGTAAGGATTTTAAAAAACTGAGTATCACCATCTCTGTGCTAGGAAGTTATATCCTGATTAATTTCGATTGGCTCGAACAGGCAGGGTTGAAGCAGCCGGCCTTTATGATCTAAATTGTGTTGATTAGGATTAAAGTTTTTCATTTGGTTCTTTTGAAGTCGATCCTCTACATCCTCTTCCTCTGAGCGTATGCAATTTTTAAAATTGCATATGAAGATGGTCTTTGACATTTGTTCTTTGTTTCAGTATAGGGTATCATCTGTGGTAAGGACAGGAGGAAAAAGTTGTCGTCTGAAATCCTGTAGTTTGGGACATTCAAAGAGCTGGTGTTGTACTGTTTCGCAAACATGGTCATAAAGCAAGCACAATGGTGGTTTTTCTAGGTTGGTTCTGTTTTGGTAGTAGTTTAGAGGTATTTGCTGTATTCAGAGGCAGAATGTCATCGTTTTTTCCCTTCTGTTGAGGGTTTTTTTTCTGTCAGCAGAAAGTACTTCATATTGTTGTGTTGGCCTCTCACAATACTCTCAAACTTGTGTCTTTCTGATGCCCACAGGAGTTGTCCTTGTCCCAAGTCAAGCAAGAGGCTGGTGAGTGACAAATAAGTACAACAGAAATCTTTAGTGGGCTGTTCTGTTCCTGATCCGGTCATGTTATAGTGCTGACCATGACTACCACAAACTGTCCGGGTCTATGTTGTGTATAAGAAAATTAATTGACAACTCATGAAGCTAGATTTCATTTTCTTTTCTTAAACTCAATTGCGAGTCGCGGGAATTATATTATCATTTGATTTGTATTGAGAAAGTCTTTCTTGGAGGAAAATGTCACTCTGCTCAGAGATTTTAGGGAATTACTAAAAAACGGAATCAAGAATTTTGCCTCTAACAAAAACAAGCTGTATTCCATAGTTTTCTCTAAACTCTTACAGTTGAAACACTCTTTTTTGTGTTCTGGAAACTCAATTCATCCTGTATCCCTCTTGACACTCCTGTTTGTTGGTGGATGAAGGATGTCATTGGTGTCTTCTGCTTTTTTTCCTGTGTTTCTTTTCTATTTTAATTAACAAATTACATATCATTAGAAAGTTAAATGGGTGGTCAAAGGGTTATACAGGCAGGGCCTGATATTTTACTTGTAAATCTTTAGTTTTGTTTCAGAATATCTCACATTGCTTTTTCTCAGTTTTGGATGCTAGTAATGTGTGGATGTGTGTTGCTTTTAGTCCTCTAAAAAGTCTCCAGCCCTTTTCCTTTTTGTCTGCTATTTTTGTCTGTTGTCTTGTTTGTTTTTATGCTCTAAGGAGTGAAGACCTATTATCTGTCTAGTATATTCTGATATAGGGAATTGAGCTGTGGTGACCATTAACGGTATGGTTTTTAAGAGTTGTTAGTGGGCTCAAAGTGATGTGATATTATGTGTTATGTCATATGTTGTGTAATTTGTCAATTGTTTTATGAATCATTGTTTGTGACATCCTGTTGTCTTGTAACTCAAATTTCCCTGCAGGGAGCTCTAAAGTAGTATTTTTTTCCTTCTTCTTTTTCTGTTACTTAATCCAAATCTATTTTAATAAATTTTTGAAGCCAGTGACTGGAGCATTCCACTGTTTTACTTCTTTTCTTTCCTTTTGTTGATTCTGTCTTTTTTACTATTTCCCTTAAAGTGAACGACATCTATTATTTTGTTGTTCTTCTCTTTATTAAAACTTAAATATTTATATGTCTTTGTGTGTGCCTTCAGTCCGACTCTACGATCAGCTTCATGAGTTGGAGATTAAACGTGATGGGCTGGTGGAAGAGGCAAAGAGCAAAGGCTCTCCTGCTGAGGAAAGAGAAAAGTTGCTCAAACAAGTGAAGGAAGACAACCAGGAGATTGCCAGTATGGAGAGACAGTAAGTGGCTTGTTTCATGGTTGATGGTGTTTGCTGCTATTGTTTTCTGTGTCTGTGTGTGTGTGTGATGTGTGTATGGCAGATTGCTTTGGGGATGGTACGGGAATGGGGGTGAGGAGGAGTGACAGAGTCTGTAATAATTTCTCCATTTTGTCTGTCTGCAACCCCAAGAATAGAAGTTCTGCCAGGGCCACAGACTCTTAAATGGGTGAGGCAGTCCAGTCCAGTCTCCCTTTATCCTCTCCAACAAATAATTGCCATGGCCCTGTTTCCTTTTGTTAACATGTGCAGTAGTCTTTCGTGGTCCTCCCCGATTAATTGCTGTTGTTGTTTTGTATGTGGCCAATGGGTTTTGGTGACAACAGAGAAAGTAATTTTTTTGTCTGTTGGGGCTGTCTGCACCCTGAAGAACAGTGTTTTTCACCTGGGGCGCTGCCTTCTTCAGACAACGTCTCCTCTTGTTTGTCCATTCTGAAAAACTGGTGTCTACTGAGTGGAAGCTCATGTTGAAGATGAAAAGGAGCTTCTCTAGGGCTTTTGGACTTGTTTTAGGAAGATTGGGAATTCTGTTGGGCACATTGCCTCGCTGTTTTTCGCTTTGCAAAGAGTGGTCCTTAGCCCAGTGATTGTGAACTCAGGCTGAGCCTCTCCTGAGGATTTTCTGAGATCTCTTACCTGTTGATTCAGTATTCTGTTGTTTTTATTGTTGTTGCTACTTCTGACGCTGTTTCTGTTGTTGTTGATGCTGCTGCTTTTGTTAACATTGTTGATCATGTTGCTGCTGTTGTTTTCTGTTGTTATTATCAGCCTGGAGAAACAGTTAATGGTTCATAATGGTTGTTATTGTTGTTGTGGTTTTTGTTGTTAGTGATCTTTCTTGTATGGAACGGCAGTATGTAACTAATGAATGTTATTGTTGTACTTGTTGTTGTTGTTGTTGTTGTTGTTGCTGTTGTTACTGTTTTTGTTGCTGCACCTCTTGAAACAATAAATTATTGATGGGTTTGTTGATGTTGTTGTTGTTGTTGTTGTCATTATTATTGTGGTTGTTGTCATCATGGAAAGACAACTATTGTTGTGATGTTACGTGACCGTGGTTTATTTTTGTGGTTATCAAATGGGCAGTGACTGGACTGTCTTTGTTGTTTTTGTTAATCCAAGAATAACGGGACTGTTGTTTTGTATCTATTGGTTCAGAAATGACTGGAAGGTCAAGTTCTTCTGTTATTTTAAGAATTGAGTTTTCTGGACTTCGCAAATATTATTACCATCTGAATGTCTTACTTGCACAAATTGCAATGCACATGTGTATATGGTTGTTTTTTGTCTTTCAGAACTCGGGAGCTTCAAGAGAAAATTGAAGGAATGCAAGACAACATTCAACAGCTTGACCTTGACATTGAAGAAAATCAAGGTATAGTATGGTTCTCTCTAATATATTGTGTCAGAAGCCATGTGGTTTGTTTCATTTTGTTTTTTGTTTTGCTATGAACTGAAGAAGCTTTGTTTGCAAATTCAAGTCAGGTATCCAAAGAAATTGTGAGCCGGTCTAAGGAAATCAAGAACTTGTCGCTATGCCTCGAATCGAGATATTGACAAAAATGGTTTGTGAGGTCAAGTCTGGTCAATTTTGAGTTATACATACCAGGGGAATCCTCAACCATTTTAGAATGTAATTTAAGAGCTGTTTCTTGTAAAAAGCAGTTAAATATTTTTATTTTTCTCAATTTATTTTCCATTTGCTTTCCGATGTTAAAATGAAATAATGGTGTAGCTTTGAACACATTTTTCTCAGTTCTTACTTTGTCGCATTTTGTTACTTCAAGATGCAATATCTCAGCTTCCAGCACGAACATCGCCTCTCTTCTCGCATCTTAAAATGGCTTACCAAATGAAAATTCTGTCATTTGTGTGTGTGCCATATACATTTCCTATTTAAGGTTAGGAATATGTGAAGCAAAGGAACGGAGAAAACCCCATTTCCCAAAAGGCAGTTATTTTCTAGAATATTTTTTGGCTAAGTTGTAATGAAATGATGCATTATTACTGAAGAGAAAGCTGAGAAAATAAGTTTTTACACTGTACTAAGCATAATGAGGCCATTTTTGTTCTATTATTACCTGAGCTCACTGACTCTCAATAACTTTATTTGCAAAGACATATCTCTTCTCATGTCAAAGTTCATAAGCATTCAAGGGTGTCTCTGAAAAAACTCCAAATAAGAAAAAAATGGTAGTAAAAATCATGTCACCTTTTCACACAGTATACACATCTATGTAATGCTAACAGGGGTTTATTTCCAGGCTAATTGGAAGTGGAAGCAAAGTTTTTCATTTCCAATTCCACATAACAGACATTATTCTACATTGAACAAATAATTGCTGCGGAGTCATCAGTTTTGTTACTCTGTTAAATGGATGGTATCCTAACCTTACTTCAGTTATTTATTTATGTTCACAAGTTGCTGTACGCCCGCCATTTCACTTTTTTTTTTCAGGAGAGAGAAATCAAAAGTACAAGGAGTTGAAAAAACGTGAAGAAAGCATGGATGGTGAGTTTGTTTTGTGATATCATTCTTTTGTTTGTGTTTCTTTTGTTTTGTCACTTGCTTTACTTAGTGTGATCTGGAAGTTAAAAAAAATTTATGGAAGTGATGCTTCTGTAGTTCTGAGTTTTCACTGAAAAGGAGACAGCACTGTTGTGTTTGATATGTTTTTCTTTAACTGTCTAAACTTCCTCTGGTAAACTGTTGCAATTTCAAATTTGGTACGTCAACCCCAATGCATACAGTATGTATTTTTTTGTTTTGTGGGAGAATAGAGGTTCAGTCCTCTGTTAGGCTTGGAACTTTGAAGACACTAACATTTTTGAATTTTTGTACTATTTCCACTTCAACGATGTGGGTGGTAAGATGGTGGTGCTGGGAGGCCTTCCATTTTTATGACCCACCATTTTGTTGTTGTTTGGTCTTGGTGGTTCCACTAGTCTAAATGACTGCTATTGTATAAATATGGTACTCATTAACTCACACTACTAACTCTTCTTGTTAATAATCTTATTCAAGTATTACATGTTCTCGCAGATACTGTTGCAAATGCACCTGTCATTCTCTTTTATTTCTGTCGTCAGAATTTTTGGCTACATTCGAAGAAAACAAAGCAGATGAAGCTGTAAGTTGTTGTCCAAAATGTTTGGTAATAAGTACAAACTAGATATGTTATTATATTCTATGTAAGTTTTTCTTAGTTTATTTTTTATTGTATCGTAATTAAAAAGAAGTTTATCAGTTGGAGAGTTAGTACTGATGTATAAGAAAGATGACTAAGACAGTTGATGTTTGTATGTAAGGATTTATAAAGGGAACTCTACAAGGGGCATTCATTTTAGCAAATGTGTTAATATATATTTGTGAATAATAGAGTCATTGTTGTGTGTAGTTTCCTGAAATATAAATAATAAATGTATTACATTTTGGAAGGAAATGGTTAAATTTTGATACCATTTGTTCTTTTTTTTCTCAGAAAAAGATATAAAAAGAGAGGAATACTTGGACAAAATAACAGAGTTGATAAGATTTTGTTATCCTATCTTTTGGTTGTTTTTCTCTAGAAATAAAGGAACAGGATATCAGGATGACAGAAAATGAGACAAAATAAAATAATAATTATTTTTTCTATTCTTTTTTTTTTTTTTTCAGAAAAAAATCTCAGAAATGGAACAGGGTATTGTCACCTTACTGGAGACTATGAGTCGGGTGAGTATGTAGACCTGTTTGATGTTTTCATGTTATATATATTTTTTTATGACACCTAAAGTTAGAAAAAGCCCATTTTCACCAGGAAGGTCATGAATTGTATCTGCTTTCCAGAAGTTTTTTAACAGTTTGCCCCCACAGGACGCTGATCGGTGACGGTAAGAAGCCGTCTCTTTTCCCCGTGGGATGCCGATCAGTGACGATGTGATATATGGCAACAAAAACGTAGGAACAATCTCCTTTTAGGCATGCGCACTTGCTAAAGATATAATTTCCTTTCTGAATGGTTTGTGTGGCCTTAGAGGGCAAAAATCAGTTATTTACAACTGGAGTAAATTTTTTGGAAAAATGTTGAGCAGACCTGGCATGAGTGCTGCTTTACACTGACTCCATGATGAGCATTTGGGTGATGAATGTGCTAGATCTAATGTTGCAAGTTCCAATTCATTCTCATTTATTTTTTTTGGTGAACATGCAATCATCACATTCAATTTTCTCAATGTGCTGGAAATGTCATATAATGATTGGGGTATTTTTGCCAAGATACAGGTATAGTACTGATGTACCCCATCTGTATACTGGTATGTGGGGACAAAGGTTGTGTGCTCTGAGCGCTGGGTGGGTCGAAAGTGTTAAGCCAAGGGGACCAGGGTTCTAAGACTTGAGTTTTGTTAGTTAGAATATTATAATATTATCTAATTAACTCATTGAATGTTATTATTTATGTGTTGTGCAGAACATGGGCCGCTTCACACACCTGCCTACCCCTAAGGAGCTCATGACCATGAAGGCGGATCTGCAGTTCAAGGAAGATGAGAGGCAGAAGTCAGAACGCACAACTCTAGGGCTGGCTGCAGGTTAGTCTGTTTTGTGGGTGTGTTTGTGCATGTACTTGTGTGTGTGTGTGTGTGTGTGTGTGTGTGTGTGTGTGTGTGTGTGTGTGTGAGTGTGTGGTCTCTTGTGTGTTGGTACTATGTGCATTTATGTCAATGAGGTTTTTTCAGAGAGTCTTTCTCAGCAATCATCTTTCTATTTCTTTAAGGACTTGCACACAGGCACACATGCGTATGACACATGTTCCCGGACATATGCATGTGTGCTTTTTTTTTCTTGCTTGTGTAACTTCGAAGTGAGAGTATCTCTTTACTTCTGGTGGCCCGGGAGCACTGTATTTTGTTTCTTGCTTTTGTCCCCTTCACTTTATGACTGTTGTCTTTTTCTTACTCTGTTTGTGAATGGTAGGAAGGTGCCACTGGTAGGTCCTACTTTTTTTTCTTTCCCCCCGCCTTTTCTGTCTATCTATCATTCTCACTTTTTCCCTAGCACAACGGACAGTTATTGGTGGATGGTTGGCAGGTGCTCTGGTGTGGTTTGCCCATATTTTCCTATCAAACATATATCGTCCTGATTTCTCCTACTTCTTTTCTGTGTTTGTTACTCTTTTGTAACACCTCTAATCTACGGCACTTATATGACCTTATTGTGTTGCAAGTGCCGTAAAACTCTTACAAAAGAATAAAAAAGACAGTTATTGTGTTGATGTGTCTTCTTTATGCAAACAATTAACCATACTAGACTAAACCCACTTGACTGGGCTTTGCAGAAAGAGAAAAGCTTCAGCATGACCTCCAGAAGATGGAACAGTTTGAGGAAAAACTCAACGAGGAGCTGAATGTGCTGCGGGAGCGAGTGGTGGAGATGGAGAAGGAATTGGAGGTCTACTCTAACTTGGATCAGCTCAGATCTGACTCGGACACAAAGAAACAGGTACGTTTCTGAGAGCTGATTGGAGTGTGCTTGTGTGTGGGTGGGTTGGGGGGGGGGGGGGGTGCACCAAGAATCAGGTTTTTTTGTGCTACTCTGTGTGTTATGTAAATGTGGTTTTGCTTGTGTATGTGCCATGCCAGTCTGTGTGCTTTGTGTGTGTGGTGGGGGGGGGGGTGCTGAAAGCTGACCCAGACTCCAAGAAACAGGTTAGTCTCTGTGTGCCAGTTTGTGTGTTGTGGGAGTACTTTTGACTGTATGTGTGTTGAGAGCTGATATGGACTCCAAGACTCCAAGATACTGATACATTTGTTTTTGTGTATGTTCCTGTGTGTGTTTGTCTCAATGTGTGTGTGTGTGCACATGAGTGCGAGTATTTTTTCATTGACTTACTGTGCCGGTGTCCTATTTTGTTTCTTCACAGAAATTGATGGATGATAGAATCATTCTTCAGAAGAGACGAGACAATTTCAAAAAGATGATTCAGGCTCTTACTGTGCGCTATGAAGGACTCAAGTCACAACTCAATGAGAATGAGACATACTCACAGGTGAAAAAAAAAGTTACATATGTACTCACTCTCATGATGATGTTATAAATGTATAAATGTGTTTTGCAGGTTTGGTTGGAGGGAACCTCTCGTGGATCTGTTGTTTCTGTCTGTCTGTCCGTCTAGCTTTTTTCCCCTTCACTAAATACTATGACTGTTGTTGTTGTGATGATAAGCTTCTCTCTATTCAAAATGAAACATTTTTTTTGGGTGGGGGGGGGGGGGGGATTTTTATTTATCTCTCACATATTTGGAAATAAAGCAGTTAGATATAGAGGCACACTCTGAATATGAAGAGAGCGGGACAGTTTTACTGAATGCTTATGAAGTAATGACTTGCACTTGGACGGCTCCTTGAGTAAGTTTGAGTTCTTTGACATGCTGTTGACCAACATTTTTTACCTTTGTTATAATAATGATAGTAATAATAAAAATGATAATAATAATAATATAAATAATAATAATAATGATGATGATTACAATAATAATAATAATAATAATAATAAAGATCACTTCTATAGCACCTAACAACTGATGGCTTTAGGCTCTTCACAATGAAATAAAATTTCAACAGCTTACACATATCATGTTTCTTGGACACCTGCCCATTCAGTGTCCAACAATCCTTTCAAATACATACATGCTCCCTTAATGTACCAGCATAGATGATCTTACTAAATCAACTCATATATAAAATGACAATCACTGTGGCTGCTGATCACACTTGTTGTTGGAAGAAGAATCAAACTAGCTGGTAGAATAGTATTTGAATGAATGTGTTTTTAGACCAGTCTTTAATGCAGTCAATGTATGTCCCTCTCTTAAATGCAGTGTGAGGGAAATCCACACTGAGGCAGCAGCTGTTGAAAAAGTGTTAGCTGCAGTTCTTTTTCATTTCTTTGTATGTATGATATGATTTTTTTTTCCTTCTATTTTTGACCCTCGTGTGTCTAAAAAGAGCTTGATAATGTAAAAATAACAGAACAAACCAAACTGAAAGTGCACTCTTGATAGAATTAATGAAGTAGGCTTTTGTATGTTCATGTTTACCCAAAAATTATTTTTCCATTTTTTTTCTCAGCTGTGCAACTTGGAGAAGAAATGGCAACACCACGAACAGAATAATTTCTCCATGAAGGAATGTATCCTTTTGTGTCAGTGTTTGCATAGCCTATAGCTTTGTGCCATTTCCTACTCCACACCCCCACCCTTCCCTCCGGTCATCTCTCTGTCTGTCTGTCTGTCTGTCTGTCTGTCTGTCTGTCTGTCTGTCTGTCTGTCTGTCTGTCTGTCTGTCTGTCTGTCTGTCTGTCTGTCTGTCTGTCTGTCTGTCTGTCTGTCTGTCTGTCTCCCTCTCTCTCTCCCTCCCCCCCCCCCTCTCTCTCATGGTAATACTTTTTTTTATTTAATAAAGGAAAGAATTTGCTATGTGAATTTTTACCCTATGAATGCTAGATGTTCTACACATCAAAGATTATATGAACTAAAACATTTTTTCAGTATTTATTCGTATTGAGCACGGATCTTCTTTTGCCAAGTTGTTTTGCTTGACATTTGTGGAAAAAAATCACATCTCTGTAGCTTGACGTAAATTTTCAGCAAGTAAAACGAAACTGTTCAAGTTGTCACCCCTTTTAATGAATTGTTGATTCACTTATGAGCTGAAGCTGCATAAAAGTATTGACAAAAGTCTGGAAAAATACAACAAATACTTCACAGATAAAAGAAATCCCTAGGATTTTGAGACTTCTAATTCAAATACCTTTTGCTTTTTAGCCATGTGGGAATTACAGGTTTTGAGGCAGTCAGTCACTGTTCTTAAGGGGGGGGAGTGGCACCCCGAAAGTCCCGATTTGGCTCTAAACTATAGATTTTAACACTATGCCCCCACTGGACGCCGATCGGCGACGGTAAGAAGCTGTCCCTTTTCCCCACGGGACGCCAATCGGCGATGGCGTGATATAGCATGTACCGCATCTGTATCCTGGTCTGTGGGTGAAAAGTGTTAAGTTGTAGGCATTTTTAGCTTCTTCAGCCTCTCTTACAACTATTTCATCACTTAAGAATCCACTAAAGCCTTATTTCTTCCCGTACTGGGCATGTTTGTTACCACCATTTCCTCATAAAGTCATCTTTTATTTTTCTGTATCGCCAGTTTTATCGAAACGTGTTTTTTCTGTATACTTTTTTTAAGAACTCCACCATTTTTCATCCAATCTTCATGAAATTTTCACAGAATGAAGAAAAGATGTAATACTAAAAATTTGTGCAACGAATTATTGATATATGGAATAGTTTTTCGTTGGTGGTGTTTAGAGTATGGATTTTCACGGATTTTTTGTAAACGTGAATACTACCTCCGGAAAAAATTCATAAAAAATTTTCTAGTAGGCCTACGTTTAGGAAAATCACATCTCATGGATTTGTAGATCTATTGTTTGGAAAAAAATTTTTTTCTCAAATTTGATTTCGGATTTTAAGACTCCTTGCTATATGTGTGAAATTTGGTAACATTTGATCCACTAATAAGCAAGATAGCCTTCAGCTGCCGCCCCCCCCCCCCCCCCCCCCCCCTTAAGAGTCTTTAAAGTTTCCCTACAACAAGGATAGTATGATTTCGTTCTCTGAATATAAAAAATAAAATCAAAAGTTACATTTCCTTTTCTTGGATAAAGGCTTGATACAACAAACAATTACATCAGAAGTTTTCATCCAAAGTTTTCTTCCATTTTTAACAGACTAATTATACATATGTATCACGACGCGATGGAATCAGGCGCTCATCAGTTTTTGGGCATGTGTAGTTATTGGTATCATCTGAAAGTTGATTTATTTGCCTTGGTTCTTATGAAATAAATGTCCATCTATCTTGAATAGAACTCAAGATATTTGCGATTGAAGGAAGTAAGGTTGCGTGGTTTTTTAGTGGTGAAGTAAGCGAGAAAATGGCAGCCAAAGTTTGGTAACTCCAATAGCTAAAGAGTCCTTGAAAAAAGAAAAATGATGTATTTTGTACCTTTAATCAATGTTTTTCAATAAAATTCTCATGGAAATTTGTTTTTGTATATATCATGTAAAAGAGGTTAAGCCAATAAAAAACAATTCGATAAAAATTTTCAAACTAGCAGAAATGCCTGTTTCTCCAATTTTGTTATTTTAACGAGCTCCTTATTTCACCCCGCTGCCTCACATATGTTACTAAACATAAACACCTCTTTGAAGGAGAGGAGGCTTCTATAAGCGTAGAATTACAGAAGTGTTTTCCTGTTCAGCCTATTCTTAAAGAATGTGCCAGTTTTCAAGAAACACAGCGTGAATATTTTTAATATAGATAACAGCTTGAAGATTGTATGTTGAAGATTAATGACATATACAATCAATATACTGATTAATGACCTGAAATTGGTCATTGCTTTCTTGAGAGAAATTGGTAGGCTTGAATAACTTGTAAAATATATGTCACGTCATCTTTTTAATATCTCTTAGTTTGAAAATTTTATACACATTTACGAACACGTTTTGATTTGTTTCTGTCTATCCTGGAGTGCCGCTTTCATAACCAAATTTTGTTGCTTGTGCCATAAAATGAATACTATGACTGGTTTGACCCTGATGGGGAAAGCAGTCCACCACCAAAGAGATCAGAATATGTCGATAATGCAGTAAAACATTTAATGTGTACCAATTGGGTTTACCCATGTGTGAGAAGAGCAGTCCATCTTCTTGTCAATATTGTGTTAAGAGGGTAATAAAACAAATACTTCCATATAGCCTAACACTTGCAATCAATGAACAATATTTATTGTGATTATGTGTTTGTCTTTGGTCAAAGTTACCCTCTTAACCAATACCAGTTATCTCTCAAAGGACCATGGAGTGCGACTTCAACAAGCTCAGCAAAAGAGTGCAAGGATCTTTGGATGACTTCAACGCAATGCTCCAGTCTCACATGGCAAACCAGAGAACATATTAATGCCTTGACTTCCTTAGCTGTAGTTGTAATTTTAAAAAAGAAAAGTTTCTCCATCTTTATTTCACTATGCTGAATTAATAATGAGCCAGCAGTGATGAAATTGTTTGGTGAAGAAGTCAAACTTTTTGGTTCAGAAAATATAATTGAAAGAAATTTGAATATTGTGATTTTTTTTCTTCTAAATTTGTTTTGGTTACAATTTTTCTTTATTAGCTATCATAAGAACTTTTGACATATCATCCATGTTGCATTTGCTGTGATATTCTTCGAGCGCTAAGTTTATGATTATTCATTTGTAATTTATCTTGATAGCACCTGTTAGCTGTTTGCTCTCTCTCTTGTTGAAGTAAATGTTTTCTTCATCTTCTGTCAAAAGATAATCTACTCCTACTTGCACTTGTGACTGAACTCACTTTTGTCATACCATGTCATAGGCCTCATATTTCATGCAAACATTTTCATCTTTTGTAAGTTTACATCTCTGTAATGTGTATTACTAATGTATAAGTTATCCCCGTTGCAAGGGAAATGGGTTTACTCCATCTGAGTAAAAAGTGTAAGAGCCGCTCTTTTTTTTGTGACAATGGTGAAACGAATGATCATTCCTGCAGATTAAAATTTTTTTTATCAATACTGTTTAGTTTTGTTTATTTTCTTTAAAAATATGTTTATGTTTTCAAAAATCTTCTCTTCATTGCCAGGAAAGAGCCATGAGGTATAAGTTTAGCATCTTCCTGCCAGTGTTACAGTCCAGCAGGCTCATAATGAACACGTACATAAACAAACATGCACATAGCAAACGGATTTTTAAGTCTTGAATTTTTTTTTTTACATGTACAATTTTTGGATTTAAAACAAACAAAACGAAATTTGTGCATAACGAACAGATTTCCACATCTCGCTGATTTCACTATGCGTGTGTGAGTTTGTATCTATCTCCCAAACCACAGAGCATAGCTAGCTGGTGTCATCAGCTGACTTGTTCTGGACCTGTTTCTTTCTTGTTCGAACTTAATGTACATGCAGCTCCCTGAATTACAGCTATGCTTAGATTGAGTTAAGTCAGAACAAAGGTGCTTGTAAAATTGAACACCCAGGCTGAAAACAACTAAGCATACCCAAAAATGAATAGATTATAACCAAAACTGAGAGCGTATCAACCGACATAACAGTTACAAAAGAAATTATAATGGTAAAGAAATAAGGCTATATAACTAAAACTGAATAGAGTTTAGAAAGTATAAACGTGCTTGTAAAATTGCACACCTCGGTTGTAAAACACAACTATCAGTTGGTTGTAAAGACTAGGCATGCACAAAACGTAAAAACTGGTTAGGCTACTCTCTCGTAAACACAATGTGAGAGCACTATTACATTCCAATGTTGGTAAGTCTATTTCATTGAACACCTCTGTCGTCCGCTGGGATACTGTATCCAGCGTGGGTTAGGTGAACCTTGATAGGCAGTCAGGATTTGAGCAGCTTTTCTGCAGAATGATTTGAATTGTGTTAAAAATGGCGTAAAACATCTACAATTATTATCCCCGGACTAGCTATAGCCATGTCAAAAAGTGCCGTTGAGCGGGCTCAAAAGTTCAAAGGCACGATCGGATATTGCATGAGGTCTATCAAAGAAGTAAGTTTTCAGCAAGACACGCATCTATTTGCATTTTTAAAAATCCCCTCAAAACTGAGTTGAAATGGATGAGCCAAGCCGTAAACATTAGTCTGATTAGAGATGTGATGAATTAGCTGAGGTTTGGTAGATTTTCGTTATGACTGTTAACGACCGAGAGATGCCGTACACTAAGAGTTAACAAAAAAACCCAGTGCTCTAGAGTTAGGGTCTCTCACTCTGTAGGCGGGTGGTTGGAGGGCGCGACAGGTAGGTCCTCTTTCTTTTCTTTCACTGTTTGGTTTCTTAAATACTGTCTTACTTTTTCCCGGCACTAAATGACCATTATTATGTCGATGTGTTTCTCTTCACTCAGACAAACAAAACAAACCACTTTGCAGTCCAGTTATGAAGTATTTAAAATGGGGAGACTTATATTGGAATATGGTTGGAGGATTTTGTGGTTGTGTTATAAAAATGAGCTCTTAAAGTTGTTGTCTAGCATTATATCAACTCTATCAAGCGAGCTATTTGAATGCCCTCTGGGCAAGAGGGGTTAAGGGGAGGGAAAGGGGGAGGCAGAGGAATGGAACTTTTGGCGTGACACACTTTGAGGGTCTAGATTTTACTTGCGACAGTGGGTCTTTCCTGCTCAGACCCGCGCACAATCAAAAGTACAAAAACCTCAGACTTGTAGGACAATATCCAAGGCTGTGCACGATGACGTATTTCCGGTGTACCATCGAGTGCCTCAGTTGACTCTATAATTCGAATCCAACTGAAGGACAAAGAGAGGAAGGTTGCGGGAGCACTTGACTATAGCGAGACTTGTGTTTTGCTCTTCATATGCGCTCCCGTTGTGCCCACCAGCGCAGTGAAATTTTCACAGAGAGCAGAGAACGGTGGCCCTGATAGTGTCCAATCTAAAGATATTTTTACGATTCAAGTCAATGGTACCACGAATTTTTGACCACACTATAGTATAAATCTAGCTTGAATAAATTATTATCAAATAATAATCGCTTTAAAAAAATAATTAGAAGTCACTTTACCAAACAATAAAAAACCCACTGTTTAGTCAACACAGAAACGCAATTTTCCCTGATTAGATCTACATAATATTTCCGGAAGCACGTCTAGAAATAATTTAGATTCTGTAGGCAGACACGATTCTAGCCTTACGGGCGTTACAAATGGGTTTCAAAAACTGAAACAAATGGGTGGGATACGGGCTCTTGTCACAGAGTCGTGCTTTGGCATGATAATACAGCATGCGTTGGCCTGTCGTTTTGGAGCTCAAGTTCACAAGCTTGTCTAGAATTGTTCATTGTCTATTCTTTTTTCTCCTAGTGAGAGGGAAGACAAAAGTACTTCAAGTCGTCATAAGAAACGGTGTAACTAAAAAAACAACAACCAAAAACAAAAAAACCAAAACAACCCATCCAAACATTAACCAAAGCAAGACCAAAATTACATACACATTCAAAGAAGACAGTACATTTTTACTTTTGGTTCATCGGGGCTAGCCAATATGGAGCTGTTCAGATTTTATTAGTATGATTGTTTGAAAAGCGGATGCGAATTCGCACAACGGCAGGCCTTTCTGGGGCTACTTGTGTTCGATTCTAGTCTTATTAATAATCAAATCGTTTTAACTCGATTTTGAAAAAAAAAAAAAAAAAAGAAGCTAGGCAACCAATAATTAAAAATCATTAGTTATCAAAATGTCAATTCTAAAGGACCTCCTTTTGATTCGGAAAGTGCTGATAGTGATTCTTGTGCCTTTGGTATGTTTGCCTTTAGCCCTTAGTGAAAGCAAGGTAAGATAAAGTTTTGTTTTTCCCCTCATTAAAGTGCGTGTTTGTTGTCTTTCGATCATTTATTGTGGGTCCTTTATTTATTGTTCTATTGTGTCTACTTGTTCTACTTGTTTCAGTATTACCATTTTCCTTACATTCTCCAGACGAAATATAGCCTTAATCAAGCCTCATTGCGCTCTGTCAATAAAACTCATCACAACTCTTGATAACGTCATTCACTGTTTGTGTTCATCGTTTGAATTATAAGATATGCCTATTTTCCTATGGTTAATGATAATGACTGCAAGAAGTCATACTCCCCAAACATAAGGCCTGTATAATTACAACGCGTATTTTCTTATTGGTTATTTTGAAAGCAAAAGAAAACGGATGGCTGGCGAAACGGAGGATGAAAAGAAGATAGAAGAATCGGGTGGGGTTCGTTTTTTTTAGAGGGGGGGGAATTTAACTTAACAGAAGAGTCCACGCCTCGTTGAGAAAGACAAAACAAACAAAACAATTAAACAAACAAACGAACACACTTTAAACAAATACAAAAAAGATAATGCTTGAATCTTGTCAGCGCAATTCCTATCGGTCAGAACGACATGCTCCGCGTGATCCGTCCTTTCCGTGACCCCCATCCACCAGAACGACACAGAGCGTGTCGTTTTCACCTCCCCCAATTAAAAGGAAATCGCGTCAACAAGACAGTCATGATAACAATTGAAGCCAGGCTGTCAAAAATAAAAGTTCCCCACCACTGTTGTCCTTACGCTGTGGTGTAAGTGAATTCAGCAGACTGTACAAAAGGGTCTTGAACAATTTGCTACCTCATAGTTACAAAATTCGATCTGCTCAATACTTATTATTGAAAAAATTGACGTCAAATTTTCCAAGTTTCGCAATATGTCAAGCTTTTTTTTTTGCATGCAATTCTATCTTGTTCACAAAGACAAAAGCTTACTGTCAGAACAACCAGTTAGAAAAATAAGTATATTTTTAATTCTTTCAGGACGTAGCTGACACATAATATTATGTATGATTAGCAGGCCAGGGGTAACGTTGCGGCACATTTGTAATAATCTCGCTCAAGTCTTATTCTGATACTCGAATTCGTATAACATATCGTAGTATGCATGTTGTAGTTTGTCTTTTTATGTTAAAAATCATCATCATCATCATCATCATCATCATCATCATCATCATCATCATCATCATCATCATCATCATCATCATCATTCTGCCCCAGCGTGGCAGCCTTGGCTGAGTGTGACCAGTGCAAAGGCCCTGGACAGAATATAAAACTCAGCCCTCCGCCTTGTATCAGGTCAGCAGAAGCTCTGCGCTACTAGACCAGAACTGAGCAACAAACCACCTAAACGAAAAGAACATACCTCAAGTCTGTAGAGGTGGCTAAGCGATTGCCAGACAGCCATCCGAGAAAGAAAGCCCTTGATCAAGCAGTCAAGTTTAAAAACAGCAGGAAAAGTTGGTTTCGGATGGGCACCGATCGAGCAGACCACCTCCCCTCTGAAGCAGAGAATCGATGGCCAGTCAATTTGGTGAGAGCTTGTCCATGGGAGGCCCATGGCGAAATCGAAATCTGGACAGAATTGAGAGGAGTGAAGAGCAAAGGCGATATCCATGTAAACGCACGTCAAGCTGCAGAGGATGTAATCAAGGAGGCTGGTGCCAATCTGACAATTTTCGCTGATGGATCGGCTGTCGCAGGATACCGTGAAGATGGAGCAGCAGCAGTAGTGATAATGAATGATGAACCACTACGAACAGAAATCATTAGAACTAAAGATGCATTCTTCACATCACCTAATGACGAGGAATGTCAGGCAATGATGTCTGCTGCACAATGGATTGTTGACAATTGCCACAGTAGAACCAATGTGCTGATCTTGATTGACAGTCAGTCCCTCTGCAAGGGGCTTCTAGGCAACAGCTCAGATATAAATGATTTGCTCCGCAAGTTCAGTGAAACTACAACCTCAAGAAAGATCCAGTTTTTCTTATTCCTCGTTCTCGATGTCAGCAGCTAGACAGTCAGTCCGATGTCGCGTACAAACTGTGTAGTTCGCTTCAACTCTGAAAGACTGCCATAGAGCTTTCTCTCAAGGGGAGCCACATTCTGCCATGTCTGTGCGCGAAGGGTGGCGTAGCGCGGGCAGTGCTGAATGATATGGTTGGCATCCTCTTGGTAGTGTCCACATTCACAGATCGATGTCGCTCCCACTCTTAATTTGGTGAAAGATCCAGTGGATTCCAAACCATATTTGAATCGATGGAAATGAGGCAGCAGACCAAGGTGCCAATGAAGTTAGAGAGATTGAAGGTGACAGACGACCAATAACGTACAGGGGAGTCTTTCCAATGATCAAGAGGGGAATCAGAGATCCATCATGCAGAGCTGAGAGTACCAGCACCTGGAGGATGTGTATTCTGGGTACTCCAATAAGCAGGAACAATTAATCACATGTCGCTAGGACCAGGTTGAGCTAACGAGACTGCGGTAGGACCATCATTGGAGCATGAAATGGTATCAGAACTTTGTGACTGAAGAGCTCAACCCACGTTGCCGAAAAAGCAACCATGAAAAGGAAGATGTCAAACATATGTTGTAATTGTAATGTCCAGGAGCAATGGCAACTGGAATGAGGTTTTTGGACAAGTTGAGGTGCCTCTGAGTATAATTTAATAATGACAATGGAGCCGAAAAAGAGCCCCGCTCTCGATCGAAGATTTCTTCGTGAAGCCCACAAGGCCTATTAAGGAAAAAATAATCATCATCATCATCATCATCATCATCATCATCATCATCATCATCATCATCATCACCATCATCATCATCATCATCATCATTATCGGGAATAAGACAGACGACCAACAACACACATAGGAGTCTTTCCAATGATCAAGAGGGAAATCAGAGACCCACCACGCACAGCTAAGTACCAGCACCTGGAAGATGTGTATTCTGGGTACTTCAATTACCAGGAAAAAAGTATCTCATGTCGCTGGGACCAGGTTGAGCTGGCGAGACTGCGGTCGGACCATCATTGGAGCCTGAGATGGTATAAGGACTTTGTAAATGAAGAGCTCAGCCAACGTTGCCGAAGATGCAGCCATAAAAAGGAGGATGTCAAAACATAGTATGTTTGAATGTCCAGGAACAATGGCAATTTGAATGGAGTTATCTGGACGAGTGGAGGTGCCTCTAAGTATATTGACAAGGGAGCCGAAAAAGAGCCTAGTTCTCGCTCGAAGATTTCTTCGTGGAGTCCCCCAGACCCATTAAAGAAAGCAAAAAAATCATCATCATCATCATCATCATCATCATCATCATCATCATCATCATCATTTCTCAAGTTATGCATCTTTTTTAAATTGCCCTCAAAAAGTGTGTCTTTAAACGTTGTTGATGACCAAAAAGTGGTGTCCTCATTGAGTTAAACGTAGCACATGCACATCGTGAGTCGGATTGTATGGCATTCTGTCGTACAGATATAAAATCCCCTTTTAGTTAATAAAACAAGATGAGTTATAGGATGAGCTGTCATGTCCATCTCTCATCTCCGGAAGAACCGAGTGAAATGGACCTCGAATCATAAGACTTTTAACCCAGTGAGGACGTTCTTTTTTGTTTTATTCGACAACGCTTGAAATAACTTCAATTAAACACAAAATTTAAAATTCCAATTCTCTTTTTTTTTTTTTATCTGAGCATCAAGAAGGCAAGCAAAGTGGTGATGAAATATGCAAATGTGTGTCTCTGATTTGTGCATGATGGTTCAAAATATGGCATCAACATTACTCCTGCAAAAGCTTAAACAATTCAGACTCATGAACACCATGGGCTCCCTAACGAAGGTCAGTTGAAAGCTAAGTGCATAAATGGCACACGTATAATATGAGTTTGCACCCGGAAAAAAAATAATATTCGTTGTTAGGCCTAGACCTATTTACAAAAAGTAAAAGAGAAGGAGATGATGATGATGATGATGATGATGATGATGATGATGATGATGATGATGATGATGATGATGATGATGATGATGATGATGATGAT